CACAGAATACGACAAAACAGTTGGTATGGGACTGTTACACTGGTGGAGAGAAGAAGATTGTTCGGCCAAAATCGGTTGAATTCGGAACCAATCGGTTCCTACGGTAATTGTTTCAAATGTTTACTTTGCGATAATAAAACTTTGAAACCTTTTGTCTTATCTCATTTCCCTGTAAATTACGATTGGATGGATCATACACGTAATGGGAGAATAATCAATGAACATTGTCTGGATTTAGATCATTTTTGAAGTTATTATAAAAACAAATTTTTTATTAATTTATATTTTTATTTATTTTTTGTTTATTTATTTATATTTACATATTGCACGTGCGTGTATTGTATAGATATTTTTTTAACGTTGGCATGGTTCACTGTTGGTAGAACTTCAACGCAACTTCAATTATTTGCACCTAACGAGGAATAAATTAACCAGCAGCCGAAGGCCCTTTTGGGTAGCACTCTTATCTTATCCTGGAATAACCAGGTACTAGCTGGGATGGGGTGAGTGAAGTGAAAACCATAAACCAAAGACGTAAAGACCGAAATTGTTCTGTATTTAATCATTAATTATTCTAATTATATTTTAATTTATCAAATGTTATAACACGTTTTTGGTTAATATAGTTAATTATTCTAATTAGTCGTAACTATTACAAAGATCTGTTAAACTTGAAAATAACGTTAAATTTACAACAAAATATAATTCAATACGTATATTTTCATACTTGATATTTCCGGTTTTACTTGAATGATATTTTCCATGGTATCTTTGTATAATAAGTATAGCATAGTTAATTTTGTGAGCGCATGGCGATTTTAAATGATGAATGAAGTATATAAAAGCCCTTATAATATGTATTTAACAACAAAATAATGTTGTTAGCTTTTCGACCTAATAAAAATTAGTAAATAAATATAAATTTATACTGTGGAACCTCGCTTAACGAGCAAAATGAATTGTAAGAAAAAAACTCTCTTAACGAACAACGTTTCGCATAACGAGTGACGATGAGAAGAAAAGTTCCGGATTTCGTGCTTGCTACATTTTTTACATATTATATGTATTTTTGAATATATTAACCATCTTCGATTTTTTTTTGTCATCTTTCTTTCAAGCGGATACAAGTAATATAATCAAATATAAACTCACTTGACCGTGTGTGAATTGGATAACAGTTCCTAGTGTTAGTGGTCATACTAGTTGGATCTTAGTGTTGTTTCTGATTACAAATTTTCCAAACTTGTGTTCAGACATGTTATTTGTGTTTTTTTTTGTGCAAAATTTAATAGCACTTGCTTATCTCCCAATAAAATGTTAGAGAATAAAAAGAACCATAGATATGAAAAGCATAATCATTAAAAATCAAGACCGAGTTATACTTTTTTTTCTCTCCGGGATTATCATAATTTACATTAGTTTATATGGGAAAACGAATATACGAGTAAAAATTCGAAAATTTTAGAACTTGTTAAGCGAGGTTTCACTTTATATGTACATTTTCTAATAGAAATTTATGAATAAGAAGTTATTATTTTTACAATTTAAGTATTTAGAATTGAAACTAACGGATCGTCTATAATTGTAAGTATTTTGGTAAAGGTAATATTTAATTACTAAAATTTGTAAAATGTTAAAGATATTTTGTTACAGTTTTTCACAGATATTCATGAATAAAAAATGATGAGATCTGAATTTAGGTTGAGATTTTTAAAAGTTTACAAATGAAAATTAATATATCAACGATTAGTGCAACAATTTAAGTAAATATTTATTCTTTTTCTAATTCATTTAACTAAAATCTAAGTTACAAACAACATTTCTAAAGAAAGTAATATGTAATATATTTTTTTAATAAACTTTATAAAGAGAAAATATAAAAATACATACAATTTTGTTTAGTTTTTTTCGATTAAATTAGAATTTCAAATGTTTAGTATTGAAATTATTTTTAAATGTGTTGAAGACTATTTTATTTAAGTAACAAGTTTTAAATTTATTAAGAAAAAGTGTATGTAATAAACACTATATAGTATATAGACAATAAATAATTTTATTCTTTAAAAGTCATGAGCCGAAAAAACGTTTTGTCTGTCTGAATGTGCAAAATGCATTTAGTAGTATTTGACGATTGGGGCGGTGTAAGCTGGGTAAGCAGAGTAGGCGGCTGGATGGGCAGAGTAGGCAACCTGGTGACCGGAGTAAGCAAGTGGGGCGGCATATCCTCCGGCGTAAGCGTATGGAGAAGCGTAGGCAGCCTTCACAACAGGGGCGGTTAAGCGGCCGAGTAAGCCAATGGCGAAGTGTAAGCCAATGGGGAGGCTACGACTGGGGCGGCGGCCAATACACCTGGTTTTGGATCAGGGGCGGCGAAGCTTACGGCCAAAAGGGCAGCGAATACGACCTGAAAATATAAAACAAATTATAGATCAAATTGTAATTAACAAATTACAACACTTACGTATTTGAACATATTGATATTGTTATTTGACTGCGTTTAGAATCAAACTACGAATTGCATTAATCATTCAACGAGTATTTATACTACACAATTATTGACTTTTGGGGACGTTGCAATGAAGAGTGGGAGTTAATAAAGTTTTGACAGAACGCGTCTGGTCTTGCAAGATCCGCGAACTAAAAAGAAAAGAAACGAAAACTAAAGGAAAAAGAGAGATCGAAGAACAAACGTATTTTTGTCTTGCATTATTCCTACATTTTCAGTTATGTTTCTGCGTGAATGCTAATTGATTTTCCTGTTTCGAATACAAAACAAAACAAAACAAAAAGATGTGTGTAAATACGTCAAAACTTTTATATGTAAATCAAACGCTTTTGCATCTGATGAATCAAATACAAAAAATAAATTCAATAAAAACATTTCTTTGAATTTACATAAATTTACAATTATCATAATCGTATCACATTTTTCGTACGCAAATAGTTCAGAATTTTAATTCGGAATAAAAAAACATAATATAATACAGTAAATTTTAATAGCGGCATTTTTAAATTAGTTTTCAATACTCTTTGTTCTATGAAACTTATAATTATAGATAATAACCAATGATTGGATTAAAAAAACTTGTTTTTAAATTATTCAAAATAGAATCGTTTATCTGATTAAGTAATTATTGGTTGTCATAAAAGAAGTGTTACTATTCTTATTTAGCTGCTATTATATTGACATTATGTCAGTTTAATACAATCTTTTGTAATGAAATGTATTATTTTTTTATATTACTTCGGAGATTGAATTGACTATTGATACACAATACATATTATATAGACTGGATTTAGATTTTATCATTTATTTATAATATTATTGTTACCAACTGCTTTAAATAAGTTAATTTAAAAATAATATGCTTCTGTTATAAAACTTATATTTATAGTTTGTAAGTAAAGATCGGATAAAAGATTTATTATGTAGAACCGAATCGTTTATTTTGATTAAGTAATTGTAGGTTGCCATAAAATAAGCGATGCTATTTTGTTTTACCGCCATTTTTATGTTGACGTTATGTCAGTTTAGTGCAATATTTGGTTGGAAACAAAAAATAAACAAATGAAATTTTTAGAAAACATTACTTGATCAATTCTATAAATTATATATATTGTATAGACTGTATTCAGTCTTATTAAAGATTTTGTTATAGTTACACATAAAAAAGAAGTTGTTGTTGTTTTAAAGAAATGTAACTTATTATATATAGTATAAAACAAATTGATTTGGACATTTAGTTTATAGATTTCGATGAAAATTTTCGGTTGAGATTAAATTATTTCATTAATATGAGAATAATCAATCTAGTAAAAATAATTGAATCCGTTGTTCGTTTGTTCACAAACTCTCAAAGTCGAGGTCGCGTTTTGTCAAAACATGATCCCACTCTTCAGAAATAGGCGCAACCTCCTCACTTACAATAAAAAAAAGCACATGCTGTAATAACATTGCTAACAGTAAACGAATTCTGTTCGTATAAAAACCCAACGTATCCAAGTCACAATTCGTAGTTTGATTCTAACCGCAGACAAATACACATCCAACCAAACATGTTCAAATACGTAAGTTGTCTATTAATAAGAAATATTGCGAACTTTAAATTAATTTTGTTTGTTTGTTGATTATTAGGTTGTATTCGCCGCCCTTTTGGCCGTAAGCTTCGCCGCCCCTGAACCAAACCAGGCGTATTGGCCGCCGCCCCAGTCGTAGCCTCCCCATTGGCTTACACTTCGCCATTGGCTTACTCGGCCGCTTACACCGCCCCTGTTGTGAAGGCTGCCTACGCTTCTCCATACGCTTACGCCGGAGGATATGCCGCCCCACTTGCTTACTCCGGTCACCAGGTTGCCTACTCTGCCCATCCAGCCGCCTACGCTGCTCATCCAGCCGCCTACGCTGCTCATCCAGCCGCCTACTCTGCTTACCCAGCTTACACCGCCCCAATCGTCAAATACTACTAAATACCTTTAACGTATTTTCAAAGACAAAACTTGTTTTCGGCTCATGACTTCTAAAGAATAAAATTTACTTATAAAAAACATTGTAAATTGTTTGTTTTTAATCATTCCCTTATAGATATATTATTTTTGCAAAACATTATCTAATTTGCATTTATTAAACGCAGAAATCTTATGAAAACATGATTTATGTCACAAAATCATATAAGATTAACTCTAAATTATTACTATTGCATTATTTTGATTCTGGTCAAATTATAACCAGAAGACTAGATAGATCAATTAGCCAGTCTGTACATACTTTAAGTTATATTACTTTCTTTTTATTTCAATGTTAAAAAATGTCTGAATATAATGAATTTAAAAAAAGTTATTGTTTATACATATTTGTTTACTTATTTTCAATTTTCTGATAGAATAAACTATAGTTTATATTAATATTAAGTCAATTTTGATATATTTTTTTTATAAATGGTTATTTATGAACTTAAGTGCACTTTTAATAAGATTTTTAATTAAATCTCTAGTTACTTGATGGAAAATGCTTCAATTGATAAGTTTATAATATAATTTTACAGTTTTTTTTTAATTTTAAACTTAATCTCTATTTATTGTAAATGAAGTATAAATAACTTTGGAGAATATTAGAGAAAAATAAAATATGGAATTGTTGTAATTTCTTTTCATTTATTAAAACATAAACAAAATCATATAGCCAATGTTTCGAATCACGGTGATGGGAGTATCTTCAAATTAATAATACTTGACGATCGGAGCGGAGTAACCGGAGTATGCTGGGTAAGCTGGATAGGAAGAGTAAGCGTTGTAAGCGTACGGTGCGGCGTATCCTCCGGCAGCGTAAGCGTAAGGAGCGGCGTAAGCATTAGGCGATCCGTAAGCAGCCGAGTAAGCCAATGGCGCTGTGTAAGCTAAAACACCTGGTTTTGGTTCAGGAGTTGCCAAGGCGACGGCCAAAAGAGCGGCGAATACAACCTAAAAAGTCATTTAAACGTCAAACATTTAAAAAGATATGTCACAACTTACGAATTTAAACATGGTTGTTTGTGGTTGCTTTGACTACGAAAATCAAAATGATATCTTCCGAATCAGTAGACACGCTTTATATACTCGTTACAATTAGTCACTCTCATTACCTGGTGGGATTACAAGTTTTTACACTTGTTCGTTGTTTGCTTCTTGCTCTGATATCGTTTCTCTTCTGCTTGTTTTTATTTTTGGATGCGGACGTGACCTCGGCGATTGGACGAAATTGTCAAGCGCGTTACAAGAACAAAACGCAAAAGTTGCGTCTGTATCACGCGCGACTACATAATAAACACATACATTACGTTTTTACTTTTCTTTTTATAAATCTATAAGAACGAGCGCAAAGCAAACGTGAATTGTTTCTTTTTGTGGGATCGATGGCTCTTGGTCTCGCTCGATCTTTTCTTTTTGTCTCTATTTCCTCAAAAGTGGTATTTCAACTGAAAAAAACGATTTTTCAAGCGTAATTCACATTTTTACAATATTTATAAACTGGGCAATAAATAAAGGCCTTGCAAATGTAATCCTGTTCATTTATTTCGCTTTGTTGAATGTTCGGAAATTAATCATTCCATCGGTTATTGAATGTGTGTTACGATTTTAATTATGATCGAATGCATCTTTTTTACTGCAAATTTAGTATGCAAATAAAATTGACATTTCGCCTAAATTAATCGTGTTATTTCAAGTAGAAAATGCAAATTGAATGAGATCATTTACGAAAACAAGAAGATTAATTATTATATCATCATATAAAGTTAATATTAATAAATCAATTCAAATTGGAAATAGTTTGAAACCACTTGGAAATAGTCACAAGGGATGATGCATTCACTCCATATGGATGATTCTTGGATGAAATTTGCATAGACGTCGAAATCCGAATATCCCAATGTCAAAACAAATTTAGTGCTAATCTTGCATTTTCTCGTATCCATTATTATTGATCTTCTTGAAATTTGACATGAAATATCATTAGACTTTAACAAATTGATAAACAACTTTAGTTTTTCAATTTATTTCTCTAATTTCATTTTATGTTTTAACTTCTACTTTGTGTGAATTAAAAATAGCTAAAATTACATAAAAATTATAAGAACACAAAAATGTAATGTTAATTTTTCAAAATTAAGATGTAGTAAATATATAAAAATACAAAATAATTAGGAAAGCTACACACTACACTAATTTAACGATTATTTTCTTTTACAGTGGAACCTCGCTTAACGAGCAAAATGAATTGTAAGAAAAATGACTCGCTTAAAGAGAGACGTTTCGTATAATGAGTGATGATGAGAAGAGAAGTCACGGATTGCGTGCCTGCTACATCATTTTTAAAACTTGTGTACACATATATGTATTTTTGAATGTGTTTCACTATACGAGTAAAAATCCGGAAATTTTGGAACGGATTAAACTCGTTAAGCGAGCTTAATGTGTATTTTAATGATCTCAAAATATTTGTAAGTAAAATTACAAAACAAATAAAAACTATAGTATAATAATATTAATAAATATTAGTTAATATGACGATTTATTTCAGGCAAAAAAAAATAAGATAATTATAATATGATTTATATATAACTTCTAATTATCAAAAAGAAATTATTTGAAGCTTAGTAAAAATCTCTGAAAATCGATATAATAAATATTTCAATGAATTTTGAAACTTTATTACAAGTTGGAAAAGTATTAATTATATAAAAATTACCAGTTTGAAATATCCATTTATTGTTGGTAATTTTATTTAAATTTGACTCAATAAAAATTAATTTAAAAAGTTATTAAATAATGTGCTTCAATTGTTAGTTATTGTTATATTTATTTACGGAATAGAATCATTTTCATACTCAAATAAAATAAATATCGAATGAGTAATATGAAAAAATAAAAATACTATTCATTTGAGTATTATTACTTATTACATACATGTTAAGAATATAAAAATCGAAAACACTTTAAATAATTAAATATTTTATAGGTTTTATAACGTTTC